ACGGCGAAAGGGCCGGCGAAAGGGTAATATAATGTGTGTCAGCATAGATGCTTTTATCGTCGTCAGATGGAACTTTTGTGGGTTTTCCTTGGGCCGCGGAAGACCGCGAAAGGTCCGCGAAAGGCACGGCGAGAGGGTGGTTTTGAGGTAAAGGAATATTGGACAACCCCCATATGATTTCCATTTTCTTGTCCAGTTAGTTTCCATCATGTATACAGGCAGTATTGACTGTAGCTCATGTAGGAATCATGTTGTCAGCAGCAGCTGCAGTCCTTTGACCCGAAACCTCTAGCCCTGAACCCTAAACCATAAACCCCTAGCCTTGAACCTTATATGTCTGCCAGGCCAAGTGATGCCCGCTTTCGGACAAGGCTGGCATCAACAAACTTTGTGTTTGTGGTTTAGGGCCTAGACTTAAAACCTCAAACTCTAAATCCCAAACCGTGAAAACTTTAAGCCCTAAACTCCAAACCCTAAACCCTAAGCCCTAAACTTATCCTGCACAAGAACTCGAAACCTTTTGGCTTCCTTCTTGCAGTTTTGGTAGGGTTGAGGGTTTAGGGCTTAGAGGAACCCATGACTAAGGAGCCTCAAAAATGTCGCGTTGTGCCTATGACGCGATGGGAACTCATATTCTGATGGAATATTGTTGACAATCCTGCATGACCTTAGTATACGACCATGACCATAATTCCCAGTGTATGAGGTACTTCAATTCATGCGGGATTTGTAGCATCAAGCGTCGTAGCATGACTCTCAGCAACATGGGAATGGGTAATGGTGTTTTTTCAAGCTGCCGCAGCGGACCTGCTACTAAAAACATCATGACCAATGACTACCTGGACCGGCGAAGCATGTGTAATCATGACCTTTTCAACCCCCTAAACCCTAAACCCTAAACCCTAAATTGCGTATCATGGGATTTCGGGCCATTAATCTACCTACTTGGAGGTTCATCGGACTTAGTAAGTACTTATAGCTGGGCTTATATCCCCACCCCGCAGTCGGGTTATAACCCCAGTTTAAATAGCTACCAAGTCCCATGAACCTCCAAGCAGGTTTGAGGTCCCGGAACTCGTGAGCCTCCGCGTAGGATGGTGCAATGCAGGACATCTTTGCTGGCAGTGATCTGCGTCTATTGCCGACAGGCAGCGCTATTTGGATGCACATGATTCGCAATACCTGTTTTCATCCCAAAAGCAACGCTAGCCTACGTGAACTTCGCGCTCATACTTCTAGCGCTGTCTCATGGCCTCAAGGTCTATATGCAAGGCAGGGTAGCTTCGATTTTGCACCAGCCGTTGATGATTTTCTATGTGTCCGCAAGGCTGCACTCTGCCTGGCCGAATGTGGCTTAGACAATCTGAGATATGTGCAGTCAGATGGGTTTTCAGACGTTGACTGAGGTCGCCTCCATGTTAACATCATGCCTACCTATACCGATGCTCCCAAATCTTACAATCCTGGCTAAAAGCCCTGTAGTCAGGGCTGTTATGAGGTCTCCACATCGCGGAGGTTCTTGAGCAGAGGGATTGTAGACTTATTCGAAAGCGTTTAAGTCAATAACTTTGTCTGGCTAGCTTTGAGTTGAAAACCAGTCATGAAGCTTGGACAAGGAACGATGTTGCTGCCACTGCCGCTGCCCATGTTTGTTCCGGGTTATGACAAACGAGCATTTCTTAGATCCCTAGTCAGCATCCCTAATTCAATTTCCCTTCGAATCCTTCCCTATATCTACAAGGTTCCTGAAAATAGTTCTTAATTTCTGTTACCTAGAATCCTAATATTTAGCTGAAATGCTGATTTCTACTGGGGTTCCAAATCCCTTAGAGATATTCCTTCCCTATATGGTAGTTTCCCTAAATAAGGGGACCCCAATATAGACCCCAAAATACTATAGTCCTTATTATAGGGACCCCCCCAAAAAGGTACCCCTAATTTAGGGAACCTTCCCTACATTCCGTTGGAGTCTTTGAGGGTCCGCTTTTCGAGAAAGCTCCCAAGGTGAAGCTGTTTGTATCAGGATTTGTTCTATAAACCCTTATATAGTCCCAGTTTCCATTTCATTTTCCATTTTCTTTTCCATTTGATTCTCCAGTATTGGGGTAATATCCCTATATAGTATATACTCTTCAAAATATGTAAAATAATGGCCCTAAACCCATAATAATAGCCCTAAAGGCCATTATTTCACATACTTTTGGGGTTTAGGTTGGCACAGGTGGAGCAACTTGCTCGACGGTAATTCCTTATCACAGCGAAACAGGCTGTGCTCGAATTGGCCAGGGCTCTTGATGCAAATGAACAATCCCAAACTGTCCATGCAAGAAAAACAGGATCCTGGTTGCCTACGATGTCGGAGGTTTTGTCCCCCGAAGGGTTATTTCCTCCTGTCGTCCTTATATTATAAGATCGAGGTACAGCCTAGATTCCTGACAGAGTCCTCAACCCTGATCGGCAAAATCCCTAGACACCCCACACCCTAAACCCGATACCCTACGCCCCAGACCCTAAACACCGGAATCCTGACATCTGGCACTCCTCCAACAACTGGATGGGCCCCTAATAATCTAAACTCCTAGTATCCCGCTTAATAACCCCTATAGTAGTCC